AAAAATGGAAAAACGCCAATATGGTTGGCGCATACTTCCTTTGCCCCCATGTCGGCAACCCACAACTGCAACTACTCCTTCATCAACCAACAACAGTGTAAACGCGAGCCATACTCACTCTACCCCTGTGCCCCCTGCTGTATATATCACGCGTAGTGGACGCCATGTTCATTTTACTGACCGTTTGGTTACTCATGTTTTTTAGACATCAGCAATTCCTTCGGCATCGCTTCGCGCCGCCTTCGGTCTAGCCGGGGGTACTGTGGCAGTTCGAGTCTCCTCGCCCTCCGCCTTTGTCACGCTGCCGTCCTGTCCGCCGCACACTCCGTGTCGATACGCTACTGGGACGCGTGAGTGCTCGAAGCCAATCAACGCCGTCCCCACTCTGATTGGCTGGCGGACGTGGAGACAACAAAGGGCGCACACGCGCTCACAACACCCCGAGGGCGGACACAGACAACAGCTTGCTTGGAGCGCGCTTGCGGCGACTGCCTACGGAGCCAACCTTGTGTACGCACTTTCTTTCGCAGTAAAAGGTTGTCCAACTCAAACCGTCTTCCCTGACTTTTGATTGGGAATCTTTATCTTGTCGACTACACAACAACTTTCGACAAGTCTATTTATTCCCACGTCAAAATCTTCCTAGTTATCAGAATTTTGATTACTGGTGGTCTGGTCTCTAGGTCTTATAGAACACAAAGCTTTTGAGCGACGTACATCTCGATGTCATCCTTCCAACCAGGGCTGTCAGCCTCTCAGGCCATGGCCCAAGTTACGCCTTCTGCACGTCCTTGGTCCTTGCACCAATGCGCAGTAGAAGGCCGCAACTGTTGAGTGTCTATCTGCAGACATTTTGACATATGCGGCAGATCGCAGGAATCACTTCGCAGAAACCCACAAAGGAAAAGCTACATTATTTTACGTCGTTCTACTGTGAGACTGAAGTTCAAGCTTTAGTTTCTGACTATGCCCTGTTGTGGACCAAACTTAAGACTAGTCGGTTGTGCAAACTTCACCCGGCCGCTTCACCAGCAGAACTAAAAACGTTTTAAAACCAGCCTCGAGATAGTTTATTATGGTGGTTACAAATGGATGCTTTTTGAAATAAAGAACAAGGAGCAAGTCCAAGACCGTGCTTCATTGATAAACTAGAATAAGTTCCACTATTCTGCCACGAGACACGCATTCAAGGTGACTATTTGGACATTCTCACAGACGTAGGCAAAATAATTCTGCCAACCAGTCTCCTGAAATTTACATAACAGATCGGCAGGTGCCTTTCAAAATGGTAATAGCATGTAATGGGACATGCCTTACTTTCATGTATTGACAGAGGATCTCACACAATTCCGGTCGATACTAAACCAGCTAGATTGGCAGCAGAGTGTAGGTAGTCGGCCAAAGTCCGCGTTTTACACGCGCTGTACTGTCACCGTTACAGTGGCTGGCTCAAGGTTGATAACTCAAATGAGGCCACCAAAAACCGATTGCCGCTGAAATACTATCCATTCAATTCTGAGGAAATTTTTATCTGTTACTATGCGTCACATTTACCGCAGTATTTAAGGCTTACGAAAAACATAAGAAGAGGAATAGATATTTCGCAACAACAGGAGAACCCTCTTTACTATTATGTGAAACAGTAGGTAAATGCGTGTGTAAGACTGAAAGGTTCACTTTTCAAGTCTTCCTTCTACGGTTGTTCCCGCTCTTGTAGGAGTTATAGGGCCAACTATTTACAATGCGACGAT